TTCTATCCATATGTCTATGTATGCTAGAATAGATGCTCATATGCTTGTCTCTAGATTTTGTGTTATTGATGCATGTCTATGTGTATTGATGCTATAGATTTAGAGATTGTCAAAACATAGTACTTAATGTAATGCTTTGTGATTTTCTTGATGGTTCATACTTATTCCTTGATGGATTGTGCCTCTCCCCTAGTTTATTTTCATGCTAGCAGTGTAGATGTAGTGTAGTTGTAGTGTAGTGTTAAATGGGAGGACAATCCATGCTTATTGTTTGATGATCCAAGCTTTTGAATGCAAGTAGCATATGTCTCTATCCTTGTGTTGTATTTGGATTGTAAGCTTAATGAAAGGATTAATGACTTGTTTTGATCTATTGTACCTTTCACATGTTGTTTAGACAATATATGCTTCATTGCTTAGATATATTGTGCCTTTCACATGATATTTAGACAATACATGCTTAATTAGTCATCCTTGCTTGTTGAATCAACCAAACACACACACACACCAATATTGTAACACACCATTTGCCCTCATTAGTCACTTGTCAACAGTATAGAAATGCATTGTTTGGCGGTGATCTCTAAACCCCAAGACTCTTCTCTCTCTTATTTGCTCTTAGTTGCATTCTTTTGTTATTACTTAGTTTAATTTAGTTGCTCTCTAGTCTAATCAACCAACAAACCAATTGTTTGATCACTTAACCTACTAGCCCTAATAGCGATTCCACGACCTTATTCGATCCTCACAATCCCTTGGGACGATCCCTACTCGCCCTAACTATATTTATAGTGAAAGGTAGTAGTGGTTTCTATAAATGTAAAACTCCTGACCCTCGCCTTAAAATTCACACTCTCAAACTTGATGGTAGTGCGGCCTCGAAACCATCAAATATCATAAATTTAACCTTATAGGTCATTTGCATGCATGTGTGTATATATTTATAGAGTAATGCTATTGTGAGAGTGCTCTCACAAAAAGTCTAAAGAGCTCCCGCTTATTAGCCACACGATTCCTTTTTTAGGGATTTGGGAAAGAGAATTAATTAAGAAAGAATCTTTTGTAATAAGGAAACAAATAATCATTTTTCTCTCTCGCTTCTCTTCACGTTCTCCCTTTTTCTTTTTTGGTTAACACCCTTTACCAATCTATTTCTTTCTCTTTCTTGGCTAACCCATTCTTGAAAGATTTGATATTACAGTCTTTTTCATAACTTATTCAATTGTTAAGTATTTCAAACTTTAAGAACCAAATGAAAAGGTAAAGAATCCAAACCCTTTTATAAAAATTAGATTAGAGGAGTTATGAAACTGTTCTTCAGTTTTGTTTGTAGAGAAAGCAACAACTCTACTCTAGTTCAACCGTTCGGTGAGGAATAAGAGCATCGGTTCTTTATTTCTCATGGCCATATTAGGTGCCCCGCCCTTGAGCTTGAACTGTTGTTTGTTGGAAGCTCTAAAATCATAAAGTACCTAAAGTACATTATAAATACACATATAGTCTCAAGTTCATTATAGTAATGAGACCGGCAGAGAAAAAATGGGCCAAAATCAAGCCTTCAAGCTTTACAATATCAAATCTTTCAAGAATGGGATAAAGGCTATAATGTGGCCATGAGAAATAACCAAGAGTATTTAAGGGTTAACCAAAAGAGAAAAATAGAGAACGTGGAGAGAAGAGAGAGAAAAAAAAAAAGATTATTTGTTTCGTTATTAGAATTCTTTCTTAATTAATTCTCTCTCCCAAATCCCTAAAAAGTGAATCATGTGGCTAATAAGCGGAAGCTCTTTAGACTTTTTGCGAGAGCGCTCTCGCAATAGCATTACTCATATTTATATCATTAAGCCATTTGTGTGATTTTGGGAGTAGGTGGAACTCACTTTGACTATATGAGTGGTGGAGGATGAAGTTTATGTATGTGTGCGTATAGAGAGAGGAAGACACCAAAATATCACTCATTTCTGTCCTCCCTCATCCAGCCCCCTCTTTGTCTCTCTCCTCCATTGTCATCTTCAAGCTCCTTCAATCTTTAAGCTTCCATTACACCAAGTTCCATTGGGTATTTCATCCCACCATAGAAAAGAAAAAGAACGGGGACACCGATAGCTACAAAACCCTTGTCTTCATTTTGCATTTGGAGCATTTTTCTTCTTAGAGCATCTAGGGTTTGCTCATAAACTTAAGGTAAGGTGTAGGATGATCATAAACTAGGTTTTCTTTGAGTTTTATGGGTATATCATGTATGGTGCATGCATTGAGGAAGTTGATAGTGATTTTCCTTATATTTGCATTAATGGCCTAGTTTTATGATGGTGTCATATTCTTTAAAGTTGATACATTTCATGTTTGACATGCCTATTCAATTCATGACTATAATTATCTTATGTATCTCTACTTCACATTTATGTGTAGTATATATCTTCCTTACATGTCATTAATGATAAAATGACCCAATGAAATAAATGAAGGGTCGAAAACTATTCCCGAACACTTATCCCAACCCGAGCCCACAAGACTTGAAAATGACAAATATAATAAAATAAATAAAAAGAACTCAGTTCTCACAATTGATTGGTGGGTGATGAGTAATTTGGTACTTATAGAGACAAATGGGAACACGACAAGTTGCGATTAGGCCACGTTATTAGGGGTATCGATTTTTCTGGGGCGGCCCCAAATTTTGGGCAAATGGGGTCAAATAGGGGCACCCTAGGGCTTTCCACCTTTTGAATAGGATAAGAGCACCCTTGGGGCGACTCCCTATTTCCCCTTTTTTTTCTTATTTATTTTACTTTTCTATTTCTTTGGTTTTGTTTTCCTTTTTCTTCTGTTCATTTTTTTTCTTTATATATATATATATATATTCTCATATTAATTTAGGAAAAATATATATATGATATGAATGTTCATTTATTTCATGTCTAAATTATTATTATTCATTAATTTTCTAAAAAAATAATGGCAGCCTAAAAATTATAAATAACTTATTATTTTTCTTAAATGATCTTTAAAAATTCAGTAAAAATTAATAAAACTTATAAAAAATTTATCTTTATTAGATTATGTCGTAAAAGTATGCTATTGGTAAATTACTAAAATTTACAACACTTATTTTGACAACTTTATATAAAGGAGGAAAAAAGAAAAAAAGAAAAAAAAATGATATTCCTCAATCCGTCTGTGGCTGTGCCACAATCAATGTCTCTCTTCGCGAAAAAAATTAAATATACTATATTTCATTTGTGTTTTTTTTCCTTGTGGGGATTTATATGAAAAAGTGATCTGACTCCAAAATTATTCACTAATCCATAGTTGAGCCGAAACTTATAATTTCCAAAAAGTGAGTGATCCATATTTCTGAGCCTGCAAGCCAATAATTTCCAAAAAGTGAGTGATCCATATTTCTGAGCCTGCAAGCCATGATCCGACAATGTTGATACGTATATACCCTTGTGGTACAAGTGGACCAATAGGAGATGACTACTTGTGGCACACTGATCCTGAGAGAGAGCTTGTCTTCTTAAAATACAAGAGAAGTCCCAAACTGGTAAAGGAACCCCACAAATGGCTGCCTATCTGGCCATCTCAAAACTTAAACAATAGGGGAAAAAAAACGCACACACACACTAGCTTCAGTCATAAGGGATGTTTGTGCGGAAGGAATAGAAAGGACTTTGATAAAGTATGAAAGAACTAGTGATTTGTGGGGAAGATCATGCCACAAGTGAAGAGGTGATGAAGACAGTGCACCAAGAAAAGCATGTGATATGAAAATTATGCATGATTGATGGATTGAAATCCTCTTCTGGGTTACAATGGATCTGTCTCAGCCGGTGAGGAGAATTAGTGATACACGTTACAAAAATGTTGTAACGTTTAGCTTTGTATCCCAATATTTTCCTAAAGTGTATCCTAACATTCTCCTCACTAGCTAAGACAGATACACTGTAGCTCAGGAGAAGATTTTGATCCATGATTGATTGACCTACAAGAGAATGTACATGTTAAAAAATTAAAAATAAAAAGAACAATGACCTAAACTTGCACCCTAGTCTAAGCAAACCTACAGTTTCTCTCTCTCTCTCTCTCTCTCACCTTCTTTCTCTTTCCTCACCATTCTTTAACCTACCACACCCAGGCCTCCAAATGAGGTGTCTGCAATCCCTCTTCTCGCCATTGAAGAAGCTGTGGGTTCGACTGCATTCAAATCACAAGAAAGGTATGTACTCGAATGACTCCAATAACTCTCGCTCTTGCATGTCCGAACAATATATATATATATATAGTGATACAATTGTCTCTCTATCTTTTGCCTTCTCTATTTGGGCAACATTGTTCGTTTTCAGATCATATTTACTGCATTTCTTTTCTCAGGTAGAGGGATATACATCCTGTATGAAGATGTCAAGTCATGCCCCTGTGAAGACGTGCACGTGCTGTGGTCGATACTAGTGAAGGCACACCCGCCATCTTTGCCGTCAACAAAATGAAGGCTCTTCCTGCGTAAACACACACACACACACACACAGACAAGCATGACCAAAAATAAGATTTTTGAATTAGTCATGTACAGAGTATACATGTAACGTTCTGTACTAGTATGAGGTTTTGTTTTTCCTTTTGCTTAAATATTTTTTCACATCTTCAGTGCAGTTAGCTCAGAATGAACTAGTTTGGGCTTTCTTCTTCTAGATTTTTTTTTTTTTTTTTTTTTTTTTTTTTTTTTTTTTTCAAGTAGTTGAAATGGCAGTTCGATTCTTCCTTGCACAACCCTTTTGGATATATATATATATATATATATACATTGAAGTTGACCTGTGCAAACTCTAGAATGAAAGGGACAAACCTACATGATTTTCATGTCATACAAAGTCCATTTAAATTAAAAGACATGATCTTCTACGCAAGCTCAATAAACCAAGGTGCCAATTCAGTGCACAAGTGTCATTGGCAGATACTCTATCAAGAAAACATGTTGGCAGATAATTACGTACTTCATATAGTAGTGAAGTTCATCAGATTGTGAACAATCACAATATAGTAAAATTTGATCAATGTGTGTATCACCATACAGGAAATGGAGGTTTTCTCGCCAAATCAGATAACAAGCATTTCATCAATATGTGTATCTTCACCATACAGGAAATGGAGGCTTTCCCTCCAAATCAGATAACAAGCATTTCATCAATGTTTAGGTTTTCTTTAACTCTGAAATGAATGCAATTACGTACTGTCTCGCCAATCAGTAAGCAGGAAAATGGTTATTAGAGATAAATCTAAAGAGCGACTTCAACAATTCTGAGGTACAAATCCCTTTGAATCGTCATGTGTATGTCCTGCATAACACGGTTTTTAGACAACAGGGAATGGTGAGATTATGCAATTATAACTGCTTTAAGGATGCTAAAATTATGGGAAATTTTTCTAGCATATGAGATTGAGTCAATTAAGTAACATGAAACAACGGAAAATGGATCAGATTTGACAAAAAAATTCATCTTACCTTTCAACGTAATTCGCTGAGAGGTTGCATGGCTATAATTTTAACTGCAAAATGATGCATGTATTGTAAAGATATTTTCATTTTTTTCATATAAATGTTATATAAAGATAATTTAGTATGTTATGTGATAATAACAATGGTATTGCTTGTAAATTTACCTAAATTTAACTACTTTTGATTTTTTTAAATGAACGACCAGAATTTCAATTTCAAATTAAAGCTAAATAATGAAATTCAATCAGTCCATCAAGCTAATCAATATCATTCAAATAGTAATAAATAAAAGCAGTAGAATGTATAGCACCAAATTTCTTTACGTGGAAAACCCAAATGGGAAAAACCACAGGACCTAATCTAGAAAAACCAAATCTACAATGAGAAGGAAGTTACAACTAGATTAACCCTAGTTACGTCTTGGCACAAACTGATCTAACAAACTCTCCATTTGAGTCTCCAGGAACACAGTTCGTTCAACATCATTAACAAATCCGCTCCCACTGGATCAGCTTCTCCAACCAGTGATTTGATTTCCAACGACCAGACGTCGAATCCAATATTGGTTTAATTGAATAATTGTTGGTGTTCAACTAACTCATTCAAATCAGCTCTGAAGCAAATATGCTATTAACACACTCATTTGACACTCACCAATCTCATGAAATTGATGACTCCTAAAAGGAAAATATATGTGCACTCAATTTTTGCTCAAAAACATGAGTCCTCTCTGTATATTCTTTTGTGTATGTAGGATTTGCCTTTGATAGAGTATCTAAAACATATCAGTATTATAGAGAGAATAGGGTTTTTGGTGTTTACAGCTGAAAAGGAAACTGCTTTTTTGAACAGCTCGACAGTTTGAGAGACATGTCAATCTATTGATATGACACCAGTAGCGATTCATAACTCAGCCGATCGAAACACTATACAGTTCTATACTTGAAAAAAAAAAATTGTAGGCAGATAGAGTGCAAATTTTGTTTCATCATCTAGCATGTTTGTATTAGATGGTGAGTTTTATTCAGAGTGTTGATCATCACTAAATCACACCAACATATCATAGCCAAACGTCTCACTAGTTATTGGAAAACAGAAGTCACGAAGAACCAAATTGTGGGAGGAGCAAGTCTGTTGTCAGTGGGTAGAAGGATGTAAGGAGATGTTGCGTAAGTCTGAGTCGAGAAGGTCTAGGTGATTCTAAGGTAAAATCTGACAACTCAGTTAAACCTTTCTTACATAGTGGATTTTTTTATTTACCTGAACTAGATCCCATGGGTTTCAGCATTGGGGTTTCCCCACATATTTCATGTGTGCCTGTTTGGTCTATTTATTCAAGCTTTCTTTACTTTAACTGATTCATATTGCTGCATTATAAACTGTAATTGTGATACTTTGAAAATCAGCTATTGTTAGGAAAAATTGGTCAAGATCTATTCCTGCCCCCCTCTTAGATTTAGTTGGCACATTCGCATACTCCGGTATTCAAAACATTGGGTTATGGTTCTATATTTTCTCAATTGGTATTGGAGCATATCGAATTTATATTCCTCATTCAAAAATAACACAAAAACAATTTGAACTAAATAACAAATACAGCCTCTCATAATCCTTTTATTTTCTTTTCAATACCCCTGTATTTTTCTCCTAAAGTCACCCTTTCCACCACCACCACTCCCCACACTCTCTCCACAACCGCCGCTCAACTTTCTCTTACACTTGTTTCTCCCTCTAAACCACTGCCTCCACACCCCATCATCAACAGCAATCGCTGTTGCCAAGGAAGACCCAGATTTAAGTCGGTTATTGCAAAAGAAGATCCATAAATGGCTCCCGCAAAATCAAAGCACTGTCATCGCCCTCCTTCTCTCTTTTTATAAAGCCATGAGATAGTATATATATGTACAGAGTATGTATTTTATGTGTAGGAACCAATTTATTTGGACGGCTTCGAAAACAATTTAAGAATAACTAATAGAATATATATCTACAAGGATTGTTCAATTGATAGTTCATCCAACAGTTCCTTTCACTGAAACAGTGAAACTCATATATGAACTGGAGAATCACAATGGCTATGTATTAGTGGACCTCAAAGCTTAACCCATTAATGCATTCAAACAGTCCCTAATATTACCCAACAGGGAGACGGTGGTGGTGTCATAAGGGTAGAGATGGTCACTTAGAGAGAGAAACAATGTATGATGAGAGAGAGAGGTAATGAAATCTTTTTGTGATTTGCAATTCCCACACATACATATAGATGTATAATTAATTCATGTACATTATATAATCAGTGCATATGCATGGCACTGGTGTTGAATTGGGTTATTGAATATAGAGAGAAAGGGAGAAAGAAAGAAGGAACACAGAGAAAAGAAGTCGATGGTGGTAGCAGCAGCTGGTATTGGTGGTGGTGGTGACGGGGGTAGGATAGTCATTTCATAAAGGTTAGTAGGGCCAATTCTTATTTCGTTGAACTTGCAGCATTTTAGGAGGTAAGTTGTTTAATGAATCTAACAGTCGCTTAAGGTAGGGGTTATCTGTATTTTCATGCATACCTCAAGGGAGGTTGACCACATTTCTTTCATAACTTTAATCCAGTGGTGATTACCCAAAACCTAAGGTGTTTTAATGAGTAAAGATTGAATCTTTGAATGAAAATACCTCAATCAAGGTAACCTTTTAAGTCACTAGACCGTTTTAATGTATAAAGATTGAATCTTTGAAAGAAAATGAGAGTTTTCCCGGTGTCCGTCCCGCCAAACACCATCCCGTCACTACAAACGGTGACATATGCAATTAATGCAATTTCTACAAAGAAGAATCCATTGATGAAGAAATAGAAATAGAATATCCTACAGCAAGAGTAGGCGTCAAGCCCTTCTATAAGACTTATCTTAACTGGTCAAGTACATCCTTTAAGACTGTATTGTAATCGTTCATTTCATATCCGGATAATTTACCATAATGAAATTGGAAAGACAAAATAAATAACCAAAGTTTATCGTTACCGACATGTTAATATTTATTGAATTCAAAATTATGCTGTTCAATGCCGTGAAAAGTTCAAGAATAAGAATTAATAAACTGATGAGGGAATATGACATGTTAAAGCCTTTAGTTGGGGGAAGCATACAAACAATAAATATCAAACTACGTTTTCTTTTTTTCTGTCTATTTCTGGATCCAATATATATTGACATGTTGGTGACAGACGAAAACAATTATTGTCACCGACATATCAATAATTATTGGATCCAAAAATACGTAGTTAGATGTATTGTGAAATCCAAGGATAAGAATAATGATTTGATGATGGAATATTTCAGGTTTATTAAAGCCTTCACTCGGGGGAAACATACAAATGATAAAGGGCATACATCAGGTTTTCACTTGAATTAGGGAACTTACATCATCACAAGGCCGAGGAAGAGGAGCGATCAGCCACGCCTGGTATCCATTGTCTGAAGTACTCCTGGCACTCAATCTCTGCTTGAGATAGGGCTCCAAGTGGAGTGACAGTTATCTAAAAGAAAAGATGAGTGCTTGTTAGTAACGGAATGTTCTGGTCAGTTTCCTCAAGTAAAGAGAAGTTACAAACATATCCTTCTTGAAGAGATCGGTAGTCTGTATCGTCCTCGTCAACATGAGCTCCTCTTACCTAGAAAATGTGTGAAGAGTAGAGTTTATAATTAGAATAATATAAAAGAAAGAATAAATTTTAAAAAAATGATTATGAAAAGTGATGTACTTCCATGTAGGATATTTTTAAAGACCACCATATTTCATTCCTCATGCAAAATAAGTCACAAATACCTAGAATATTTCTAAAGAGGACTTCATTGCAATCTAATAATGAATTCAAGAGTCACAAATACACATATATATTTTAGAGAATGCAAAACATATATAAGTTAGAGAGCCAAAAGTAACACGTGTGGAGCACGCAAGGAATGCACTTTTTGAATCTTCAGTTCTGATAGAGGTAAAACAGCAAAGGAAAAGAAAATCAAAACCAAAGAAAAGAAGAAAAATAAAAAATCAAACTGCTTCTTTCTCATTGGAAAACAACTAAAAATTAGTAAAAGTTTAATAATTTACCCTAAATATTCTAATGGTTAATGAGCAAGAATTATTGGGGTCTGGAAATTATATTGATAGTTTAATAAAAGCTAAAACTATATCTCCAACCAGTTCTATCACCAGTAACCAAAAGGTCATCTATACAATCAGTAACTGAAACCACAGTATAGGAAAACTAAAATCATTTCTGTCTCAAATTTGATTTTTCTTACAAACTGTCTCCCGCTTTGGTGTCCTTTATTGCTCCCAATTTCCCAGACTTTTCAGCAGTGTGGATTCCGATAAAGGAAAACTTTTTTCTTCTCCTGCTGCAGCAGGTCCTAGTATGTCATTCTTCCCTATCAATAACTCTAGCATAGAAGGATTTAAAAAATAAAAATCCTAAATAAAGACCCGTAGATCAGGCCCTTGCATTTGCAGACTTCCTGTCCCTGTATTGTGACAATTACATCATTCCATGTTCACCAGTCCTCCTCTCGCCAACAATACACACTTCTTTTTAGACTCACTATTTGCTTTTGTTATGTGGCTCATTCTGCCATATTAAGGACCTGTTTGGCAATCTACAGGTGTATTTGAGAAATCGCTTAATGCATCGTTTATTGCCCTCATCCCTAAGAAGGGAAATGCTTCAGATATTAAGGATTTTCGTCCTATTAGCTTAGTGGGTTGTATTTACAAACTCATAGCTAAGGTGCTTGCTCAAAGAATGCGAGAAGTTATGGATGGGATTATTTCAGATTCCCAGAATGCCTTTGTTGGAGGTAGGCAAATTCTTGATTCAGTTCTTATCGCCGGTGAATGTGTGGATTCAAGGTTGCGTACTGGTGTTCCTGGAGTTCTGTGTAAACTTGATATTGAGAAAGCTTATGATCATGTTAATTGGAATTTCCTTCTCTACTTGCTTCAAAGAATGGGGTTTGGAAGTAGATGGAGGACATGGATTCAGACATGTTTGTCGTCTGTTAAGTTCTCAATTCTTGTGAATGGGTCTCCAGCCGGCTTTTTTGGGTGCTCTCAGGGTATAAGACAAGGTGATCCTTTGTCCTCTTTTCTTTTCCTTATTGTTATGGAGGGTTTAAGCAGACTTATGCGCCGGGCAGAGAATCTTGGTCTCATCAAAGGTGGGAAGGGATATTGCAAATTAGGTAGAGATTTCTCATTTGTTATTTGCAGATGACACTCTGGTTTTTTGTGATGCGGAAGTGTCTCAACGTAGATATTTGAGATGTATTCTGGCTTGCTTTCAGGCAGTTTCCGGGCTTAAGGTTAACGTGGCCAAGAGTGTGCTTGTTCCAGTTGGGAATGTACAGGACATCTCTTCTCTTGCTGCAGTTCTTGGGTGTAGGGTGAGTTCCTTTCCTATTCCTTATTTGGGTTTGCCCCTAGGGGTTTCTCCCAGATTAGTGGGGAGTTGGGATTCTGTGATTGATAGGTATGCAAAGAGGTTGGCAGGTTGAAAGAAGCAATATTTGTCAAAGGGGGGTAAAGTTACTCTTATCAAGAGCACTTTATCTAGCCTTCCCACTTATTTTCTTTCTATGTTCCAAATCCCATGTTCCGTTGCTGATAGAATTGAACAAATTCAACGGAATTTCCTTTGGGAAGGAAGGGGAGAAGAGTTCAAGTATCACCTTGTTCGATGAGAGCAAGTCTGCAAGCCTATAAAACTGGGGGGTCTCAGTATTAGACGATTGATTCCTTTTAATCAAGCCCTTTTGGGTAAATGGTTGTGGAGATACGGGAAGGAAACACATCGTCCTTGGCGTAGATTAGTTTCCTGCAGGTATGGGGATGATGTTGGAGGATGGACTACACGTCCGGTTTCTATTGCGGGAGGAGTTGGGGCTTGGAAATCCATTCGAAAAGGATGGAATGCCTTTTCTCCTCATGTTAGATTTAGAGTTTGATGGCAGTCGCGTTCGTTTTTGGGAAGATCTTTGGTGTGGACATCAGCCTTTATGTCGTACTTTCCCAAGATTATTCAGTATTGCAGTTGATAGACATGCCACCCTCGCTAACTGTTACCAGCTTGATAATAGTGGAATTACGTGGAATGTTCTTTTTCGGCGTTCTTTTCAGGATTGGGAGTTAGATGATGTGAGCATTTTTTTGGATCAATTGTATCGGCAGGAAGGAATTGGCAGGGGTTATGACAATTTGATTTGGATTCCCTCTTCTCACAGTCGTTTTGAAGTAAGGTCTTTGTTCTTATGTTTGTCTAATTTTGCACCCTCTAATTTTCCATGGAAGACTATTTGGCGTTCTATGGCTCCTACTAGGGTGGCTTTTTTTTGTATGGACCGCAGTTTGGGGTAAGATTCTGACGATCGATAATTTGAGGAAAATGGGAAATTATTTTGTTAATTGGTGTTGCATATGTAAGCAGAATGGGGAGTCAGTTGATCATCTGCTAATGCATTGTTCTGTAGCGCACGACTATTGGAATCTTAATCTTGGGCTTTTTGGCATGTATTGGGTAATGCCACGTTCTACTAAGGAGCTGATTCATGCTTGGAGAGGTTATCGTGTGAGTAGAAGTGTTTGTGATTATTGGAGATCTGCACCGCATTGTATTTGGTGATGTATTTGGAGGGAGAGAAATAGTAGAATGTTTGAAGGAAATGAGTCGTCTACAGCGACACTGAAACTTTTTATTATTCGTTCTCTCTTCAGTTATGTGAACAGAAGTTCCTGTTCCTCTTCTGTTGATTTAATTTCTTTTTTGGATTCTTTAGGGCCTTAGTTCCCGGGTTCTTTTATGTCTATCGGACGCGTTCCCCTATTGAACGCCTTTTTTTAATTTATTATTACTTATCAAAAAAAAACTGTAGCGAAGCAAAATATCAAAACGTGTTTGGTAAGAAGTGTTGCGATTTGATTAGTACCGCGTTTGTTGCCAAAAACAGGCCCAAATTGGTGTTTCCTAATGCTTTCGCACTGTAGCAAAAAACACTGTATCAATGAACAGAACCCAAACAAAAAATCTTAAGTGGTCTTTCTTAACTAGCCATTTTATTTTTCAATTTTGCAACACTTTTTACCAAACATGTTTTCATGTTGTTGCTTCCTAAAATCTTGAAACAATTTTTACATTACTAAACATGCTTTCAATCACTATTGAACACACTCCACAACAGAAACATTGTTTCTGTTTCGGATGATAACAAAAAAAGCAAAAGGAAGCAGCTGCCAAACAGGCCCTAAATCAGTTTCTATAAACATTGAGAGAGGAAGGAATAAATAATAAAAAGTGGGCATCTTGATCTTTGGTCCATCCATCTCGTCAAAACAAGGTATTACAGTAAAAAAGGAATATTTTCAGGAACAAGCAAATCATAATGATTTTTGCATTAGAGGAACATTTCCAATAAAAACTGTGTGGCAGTGCAAAGAGTTGTGTGGCAGTGGAAAGAGATGGCAAAAGTAAAGGCAACACGGATCAAATCTAGGCAGAAAAAATAAAGTTATACTGGAAACTAAGCTTTACAAATACATGTTTGCTTGACTTTCAGATTCATTAATGTGATCAAGATAGTTCATCTACTCATAGTTGTGCTTTATAAATTATACAGTGATATATTCATAAGAAGTATTACAATCAAAACATCAAAGGATAAATCCGTAGTAGCGGCAAAGCTAATGTAATCTTTCCAGAGAAAGAAGATTCCATCATCTTTAAGAAAGCACCACCCTGGAAGGGTCATGTGCGCAAAGAATTTACTCAATTCCAGGAGAAAAGTAGTGCCACAACAAATATACAGAACATAAAAATAAAATAATAAAAAATGATTATAAATGAAAACAATTTTTTTAGCTATGAATTATAATCAAGACAAGTAGCTTCAAAGTATCTCGGAAATTATATAGAAAAATCACTTTAGCAGATTAGCAAAATAAGAAATCTTCGTAAATAAATAGGCAGTTAATAGAGAAAGAGCCCTACTTCTCTCTTGAATACAAGTTGCTCTTGTGATACAGTTGAAGTATCTGTTTCTGTAAATGCTGGATTCGTATCCATTGTCATAGTTGATAACATTTTCCCTCCTTGGGCATCAGAAGTGACCTGCCTCCACCCCATTTTGAAAATACTCTTGCCCTGCTTAGTCAACTTATATCCCTATTGAAGGAGCCAAAACAACATTACAACCAAAACTCAAATCAAGAGTACTCTTCAGAATGGTTGACAATTCCATTATCTGTTGAAAATAAATATTACTGTCATAAATGAACCTAGAACAACTATAGTTAATTTGAATTAACCACAGCCGTTGCTTCTACGTAAAGTTTTTATAACTATAAGACAGGAGAGAGAGCACAATACAATGTTTGGACACATTTAAATTGATCAGATAACAAAATTGAAGGCAATTTTATTAGTTCGAACTTCAAAAATTACCGTCTTTTTCAACTGCATCAGCTATGATAATGGCTATTGTAACTTAAAATGAAGTCAGAATCTCATTCATTTCTTGGTAGTACTGGATAGAGATAAGAATTAAACAAAAGAAACAGCTATAGTTCAACACAGGTTCAGCTTTTAAAAAGACTCTTCCGAGCTTGATCACAAGGAAAAAATTGAGCAAAGCTTCAGCACAAAATAAGCTTGTTTTTTTTAATAAAAAAAAAAAAATTGGGCTTGATTAACCAGTGCTTGAATTAGATAGCTTCTGATGTGGTTCATGTTAACACTTGTCACACTATGCAACATTCAAATTGTATTACTTAGTGTTTTGAGGGTTGTATCAATCATATCCTGAAAGTCCAATAGCAAAAAGTGTAGCATACTTGCAACAAAGAAAGTGGTAAGAGTATATAAAGTAGACAACAACATCTTGTGTTTGTATAGATTTTGAATTCAGCAAAAGATGATGTATAACCTGTAGTAACAAAACATTGTTCAGCATTTGAAAATTACTTATAAAAAATAGGGTTAAATGCAAAAAAAACCCTGAATTATTGGCAAATCAGCAATTAACCCCCCTGAACTACAAAAGTTGCAACTAACCCCCTGGACTATTCAATTTTGTTGCAGATGACTCCATCCAGCAGGATTCCGGCGGGATTCCGGCTTACAAATGGCATGTGCCATCACGTAATGCTAATTTTTAAAATTAAAGACCACAATGCCCTTATTCACATAAAAGGACAAAAATACCCTTGCTACCATTATAACCAAACAATCCTATTTGAGCCAATAAATGGGTTTTAAACAGGACGGCCAAATACACCCTTCGTCTCCATCAAACCCGTCCCCTGCAACAACAATGATCAAACCCATCAATGACGATAGCCGAGCTCTCTGCTCGCCGGAACTAACCATCATTATCAGTTCAGTTCACCATTCCAAGCACCGCTGCAAGCACTGCCGATTCAGTTCCAAGCTCGCCGGCTATTTCTCTCACCGCCGAGCTCAGTACTGAAATTCCCACCAAAACTATCAGTTGTCCCCCTGCATATACCTCAAAACCTGTGAACCATAGGATGAATTCTGACAAAAAATTTGAATTTCCTTCAAAACCATCCAATAATTTGATCATATAAACAAAACCCATTAATCAAATACCATAATTGAAAGGAGTTAATTTTATTTTTTTTTTTAAAAAAAAAAGGTTCTGTAGCCAACCCAGTATTGCAACCCAATCATAGAACCCAATCACTGCCATTTTAGTGCCACCACTGAAGTTCCGCCCTCGCACCGATCAGAATCACTTCTCGCCGCCGCTGCACTACTTCATCACCATGTTCATTCGACCCCGATGGGTTCCTTTCTTGCCGCTTCCGGAATCGTGACCGCGAGCCACCGCTGTCCTTGCCCTGCCTGTTCATCGAATATGTAACAGCACCACCACCGTCGCCGCCGCCACAACAACACCAATAGAAACTCAGAGAATTGATGTTGAAACAAATTGTTAAACCCAATTAAACCACAAACCCACTCCGCCGCCACCATCACCACCAAATCAAACCATCACCATCATCGCGGACACCTTGCAAAGCCTTAATCGAACGCAACGCCATCACCATCACCGATTCGGCTTGTCTGCAGAACCTAACTGAAACCCAACAACACCACCATCGGTTGCGTTACCAAACTCAGCAACGAAAATGCTAGCCCGATGTAATGGAGATGCACAAACAATTGTGAAACCAAATTGAACCATAAACCCACTCTGCCACCACCATCACCACCAAATCAAACCATCACCATCATCACATACACCTTGTAAAGCCCTAATCGAACCCAACACCACCACCATCACCGACACATATATATTTATACATACACATACAGACACATATATATCTACATACACACATACAGACACATATATATCAAAAAATTTGGACTTCGAGTCGATCTCACAACCCTCACTTTCTCTCTCTAAAATGAACAACAACGAACCATTGTCTCTTCCGATGTATGGCTTTGCGGTTACCGATTCAGTTCCAGTGAGAACAGATCCGACGGTAGTGGGGCTTCGTCGGCGATGACCAAGAGCGACGTCGTCGATATCAGGGATGACCAGGCTCATCGTCGTCATCGTCAAGCGACGATGATTGCAGGTTCTACGACGTCGTCTGATTCGGCTTCGCCCAACATTCCATCTGAAGCCATTGAAGAAGGAAAGGATTATAAGAAACTACGTCGTTTTATTGGAAGGGCAGTTTCGTCATTCTTCATTCTGGTGGCCTGAGTGGGCAAATTACAATAAATTCATAGTACAAGGGGGTTTCTTGTAGTTCAGAGGGGTTAGTTGCAAAACCCCTATAGTTCAGGGGGGTTTTTTGCATTTAACCCTAAAAAATAATATAAATAAAACAAAAACAAAACATTGTTCAGCACCAATTTTCCTTTTACTGACTAAAATGACCTGAAATTTTCAATAAATTAACATAAAAGCACCTAGTCTTCTTAACATTAGGAGCACCAAGTGCTAACTGAATTGAGCTGACATGAGCTGATCACTCGTTCAAAGATTTAAACCAAGCCCAGGCAAGGAAAGTTGAATTCTACGAAGTGCAGTGATTGCAATCAAGGATGAAATTACCCATTATCTGATCAACCAAGCTCAACCATCTAGATATGAAGCTCAGCTAGTCAAGGACAGACACAAAATGGATAGGTCAATCTGACAATTCCTAGAAAGTAGGTTATAACTCACATGGCAAGGCACAACAATATATAAAAATAAAATAAAACAAAAAGACACACCCCTCTATCTGAAGATCTGCATGAGTCTTTTTTTTTCCTAGTTGGTACTCACACACACGTCTCTTCTGAGACTTGAACCCCTGACCTCCCTTTAGGAAGTAAAAGGCTGATACCGCTAGGCCACTAGCCCGTTGATCTGCATGAGTCAGTGTATCTAAAGATCTGGAGCAGATGCGTTTCTAGATGTTCATGTCAAAAATTACTCATCTTTCTTTGTTTTCATAATTTTTTAGTTAATGCAACAATTACATGGCCAAAAGCTAGCATTAGATTCACCTTATGATTAACAACATTTGATGGTACATCTATATTCAAAAAGCATCTCTGAGGATAAGTTTGATTCTTGATCTCGGCCATTATTGCATTTATGATGGGTAAGCAAGCCTCCGCGGCCAGGGTGTAGTCATCAATATTGCTCTTACCTCCAACCCTGAAATTCAACCACCCAAATTAATCACGTCATCCATACAATATATCCATAATTCTTTTAATAATGAGTCGACAGAAAGATAACAAACTAAGACAGTCAACAATAGTAAATTGGTGGTCCTGACTTTACAAGCCATTATAGTTTGAGATGTTCAATACATTTGGTTGTTACTCAGCTGGTTCAAACAGAAAAGTAAAATTGTGAAACGCAGTGTCACATAGAGACCAAAAAAAAAAGCTGATATATTTTGCATCCACTTATAAACATACGGGACACATTTTCACTCGTCCATATTAATAAGTAAAGCCAACAACGTGCTGATAAAAAAGAGTTTCATCATCTTAATAGTATCTGAAATATATATATATATATATATATAAGAGTTTGTAACAAGAAACCATAGAGCACTCTCTACAAGCTTATGTCTCTAATTGTAGATTTAAAGTTAGGGGTTTCTTCTAACTAAATAATGTAAGCAATTGTTTCAGCCATGCCCTCTATTTCTCAAGAATTAGAATCCATTCACTCACTTCTCACTAATACCATTATTTGATCATGTCTCACATTAAAGAGATACTCTATTTGGATCTTCTTCCTAACTGCTCACCTGTTCCAGTTGCTCTCAAATTTCCCCAAATGCTCGTGGGAAGGCCATAAAATCTATAGTAGTAGAACAGGTAGTGCTATAGAGCTAGACTCCACATAGGAATAATGACGGGTAAAGGTTTGGAAGCTGCTTCTAAGCACCGTCCCTTGATAACTAAATCATCTTGGGAAATGATTTTTGCAGTTCAAACACGTGTCCTCATGCGAGTGCGTGAAAAGATCTGTGTCAAGAGTGATGTAGTAAGTGGCAAAGATGCATTTTAAGTTATTCTATTTCTCAACATCCTAAACATAATATCAAAGGTCTTGACCCCCCCACCTTCTTTTCTGTTCTTTTTTTCTTTTCCAAGTCTTTCCCAAATGTCTTCAATTTCTTCTAAATCCAGAAGCAACACCAAAATAAAGGGTTGATCGAGTCAATATCTTAGGCCATATGAACTGCCCAGGCTGTATTTGTGGGGCTTTGAAGTTAGATTACTTGCAAAAACTCTAAGTATCATGCATTAAAAGTTAGTGATTGTTTAGGCTTTTAAGTGTTCACATTGCTACTTTTGGTCATCTAAGTACAATTGTTTGTCTTGCATCCCCTCATTCCACTAATTGGGCCATTGATTCAGGAGCTTCTGCCCATATCAATAGTAAGATTAAATTGTTTACTGCATTGGATAATCATTTTTCCAGATCACCTGTTATTCTTGCTGATGGCAGATTTGTAATGTTGCCGGATTCAACAGTTGATGCAGCTCCTCATAGTTTTCTACACTATATTCCAAAGCTTTCATTTGATCTTTTGTCCATCAGTAAGATAACAGAATATCATAACTTCTTAATAACTTTTTTGATCGAATATGATATACCTAGAGATCAATTATGGAGGGTTTTAGAAGAAAAATAAAAAATAAAAGTCATAAAGGGCTATATTAACACACGAAAGGACATATATAATGTATGGGTGAATATAGTTGGAACGACTATGGGGGAACAAGTGAATTTCCAATGGATGCGTTAATTATTTTGAGTTATTGTAGGCTTAAATCCACCTCTCTCGGCTGGCTCTCCATTGGATTCTGATAATGTGGATCCTGCACCTCCTTGCTATCCTCAATGAGTTCGTTAATTGTCCGGATCATTTTTGGTTTCTCTAATTCTGCTAGATTCTGTTCCAATTTAGCATCTACCCTTTCTCACTCTGAGCCTAACTCCTATAAAGAGGTTGTTCTTGATCCTCATTGGAAACAAGCTATGGATGAAGAGCTCTCAGCTCTGCATAAGACCAGTAGACTTGGTACCCTTACCCCGATACACGTGCAATTGGTTGTCGATGGGTCTATAAAATTAAGACCAAGTCTGATGGTTCCTAGAGAGGTATAAAGCTCATTTTGTTACAAGGGGATTCACAAGGGAGTATGGTATTGATTATGAGGAGACTTTTGCTTCTGTTACTAAAATGACATCTGTCTGCACATTAATTGTTGTCAAGGCGGTTCATCGAGGAAGTTTATATGGTTCCTCTATGCTCCTGTTGCTAAAATAATATCTGTCTGCACGTTAACCGTCAATCACCTCTATCTGAAACACATCCTTTCGAGCTCCCATTGATCAAACCAACCAATTGTTAGCTTGAGAATTTTTAAGTTTCAACTGAGAAGATTGTAATATACCATTTATTTACTATAATATGTCACTTATTCATATAGTATATTATAAAAAATAAAAATATTAAATGATATATGTCATATGTCATAATATATATATATATTTTTTATGACATATGATATATATATTGATAAGTAAAGATTGTATAAAAGAAGCATTCAAAAGGAGAACGCATCCCTCAGAAGATACACAAGACCTAATAGGGGCTCTAAACTCTCAAATAGTCCAAAAAATCAACTATCTCCTCCGTGGATTTGCAATATCTCCCTGAAACCCAACAAAAAAGAGTGTTAATAATAGAGAACTTCAACTCCCCTATAAAAGTCTCCTTTCCTTCTAAATATCTCCTATTTCTTTCAAGCCATAAACACCACCAGATGCAAAGCGGCATAACCCTTCAAAAGTCATGGACTTGGGCCCCCACTATACACCCTCGCCAAGCCTCAATCAAAAATCTGGGAGATCTAGGCATAACCCACTGAACCCCAAACAAACTCAACAGTAAAACTCAACAATCCCTAGCCACGGAGCAATGCAACAGAAGGTGATCAATTGTTTCCCCATCTCACTTACACATGTAGCACCACTTGACCGCTATCTGTCTTTTCCTTCTCAAGTTATCCTGGGTTAAGATCTTCCACAACACCGACGTCCACGCAAAAAAAGCCACTTTGAGAGGGGCCTTGGATCTCCAAATAGCCTTCCATGGAAAAGAATCCCCATGTATGTAACGACCCGGTCATTTGCCTTCCTTTTCTTTTTCCTGAAATTTTATGAATGAATTTTTTTCGTTTAATTTTCTTTTCTGAGCTCTGTTTCGTGTCGCTTAGTGTCATCTCGAGTGCTCGGAATTGATTTCTGAGACTCTTTCATGTGAATTGACAACTTCCTTTGAGACCGAGTCACTTTCGTATTTTCACTTTTCGGACACTATGCGCCTTTCGTCCTTTTCCCTGTTTCGTCTTTTTCCCTATTCTGTATTTTCCCCGTTTGTCACATTGTTGGCACAACCTCACTTTTCATGCTCGGAGTTGGTTTTTGAATTCACGTGTCTTCATCTTCAGTGGTTTCCTCGAAATACGTATCTTTACTTTTGTAAGAAAGTACTCTGATTGCTCCCGGTGTCCATAGGAGCATAGATGCACAATTCTTCGGAATTATTTTCTTTTCTTGGAGTGTTTTTCGTAAATATCTTTTGAAGATATTTTATTTCAGGGGCATCTAAGAAAATATCTTTTGGAAGATATTTTCATTCTGGGGCAATTTCGCAGTTAACCCTTTTTGTAGGGGCCATTGTGCAATTAACGAAAGTTATTGCAAAATATCTCGTCTAGAGCCTGGATTCTCGTACGAGATTCATTTTCACTTTTCGTTGACTTGTAAATTCATAGAATTTCCTTCTGGTCGTTTTTCTCCAGTTTCAGAATTTCTGGACCTGGTTGCCGCCGAACTTGTTCGGGGCATAACTTTCTGCTTGGGACTCAGTTTTGACGCCGTTTCTTCCGTTGTTCATATTTTCTTATTTTAAATCTTTTTTGTTCACGAAGTTTTGCCGTTTGAGCGCGTTTGCTCAAAATCCACTTTTCCGGACCCGGCGGGGCCCTTTCGAGGCACTTTTTGAGATTTCTATAAATAGGTTGCCCTAATTTTTAAAATCAGATTTTCAGACCTTCTTCCTCCTCTTGGCTGGCAGCCATGGGAGCCCAAGGGGCTGCCTTCACTCTTTCTTCTCCTCCACTTGATTTCGTTGATAGAAATCCTTCGGCCTTAGCATTTGTTGTTCGCCTCGTCGTGCTCTACCATTACCCCTTATTAGAAACCATTTTTGGCCAAGTTTTGAGTTTGGATTTGAGGTCAAGTTTGGATTTTCATGGGACTTCTTGGGGATTCATATAGATCGTGTTATCCCCGACAAAACCCTTCGGTTTCGGTGGATTCGGAACACTTTTTTTTCGGTGGGCCTTTGAGGTTTTCATCTCAAATTGAGGTAAAGGGTGTTATAATTTACTTTCTTACTCTATTACATACTTTTGATGCTTATTCAACTCAAATGCATGCTTGAATATTAAATCTAGTATTTTTTATTATTTATTTTCTAGTATGAAATTTAATTTTCCCGGTGGGTTATAACATATTTTAAACTTGTGGCTTGACATTATATTACACCTTGATATGTTGATTTACATATATTAAAATTGGAACATTTGGATAAGAAATGAAGATTTTATTTAATATTTATCTTGAATAAAATATTAATTCATGTGGCCTTAACTAGCTTGAAATCAATGTGTGATAGCATATTATATTTGGCCTTAGCATGCTCTTCAACATAGTTGAATTTGAAAGTAATTGGAGGTATTTCGAAAATTAGTAATTTTTAATTAATTTGATTAATTAATTTGCCCCGAGTGCACTATTCACTCCATTTGAATTCCGACTTGATATTCTTGATCTACATGCCATATAGCTTCACATATATTTGATTTAGAATATTCAGTGAGGTTTTGAAACCTTTCATTTAATTAATTTCCTTATTTAAGATTTAATCCTCATGGTGATATGCAATTTGGAATTGAATTGTGGCATGCTAGAAAATTAAGCTTTGGTGTGATTGTTCACATATATTAAATTGGGATTAATTACATGAGAATTGCGACCTTTATTTTACATTTAACTTTAGTGAAAGTTTAATTTACATAGGTGTAACTTGCATGAAATAAGCTTGTAATGTGATATTACATTAGTCCTTGGCATGTTCTCTAAGATATGTTAAATTGAGAGCATTTGGTTAAGTTTAAAAATCTAGAGATTTTAATTAAAAAAATTAATTAAAATCTATTTTGTGATCCCATTAGCTTAATTAAGATTTTAACTTGATATTTGTATTGGCCAAGACTTGTTTACTAGTATATATTAATTGTGGACCATTTGAAGTTGCTTTAGAACCTTGGTAATTAAATTAGCATGATTTAATTAGAGTTCTACTTTGTTGTTCCAATAACCTAATTGAGTTTTAGAATGGATATAGGTGATGACCATGCCATGTTCTTTAATATGTATTAATTTGAGGTTATTTGGAATTGAATTGGAATATAGGGAATTTAATTATTTTTATTTAATTAAATTCTATCGAATTGAGCCATGGATTTAATTATGTTTGAAAGTCGATTCTATATCAAAATCATGAACATGGACTTGTTGTATATTCATTTGGTTATGTTTTGAGCATTGGATAACATAGTTGCTATGTTTATACTCATGAGAATATATTTTCCTTATTGAATATATTGTTACCTTGTGTAATGATTTGCACATTTCGTATTTAACATCTTTCATGCATAGCGTGTAACGAATCGCACACTGAAGATTCGACATTCATCATATCATATTAGTTGTGGACTTAGAACATGTATTGTATAGGTTTTCAAATTTGGCTGTGCATGGTAGATAGTTGATTATCTTGTATATACATGCTGATATATAAGTTGTTGCACAACTTGTTGATTTTGGAAACTTGGGGATGTCGTTGTTTGGCTACGGCTAGGACGTGGTTCAAGTACGGGGAATAGTCCCTCTATATAGTCTAGTGCGCACATAGGGAGGTTACCCATGGGCTAGTAACCACATTGTCAGTTTGATCCGGCGTGACGTCCAAGTATCCACTTTATTTGATTTCGCATTTCATTTCAAGTTGATAACTAGATGATGATATGACTTGTTGTTTCTTACTTGTTTTCTCGTTTTAAGTTTCAGGATGTTTACTTTGAGAAACCATGTTTTACGCGTTATATTAGAAGTTCTAATGTTGGTTAGATGGCATTGAAATTGTAATTTTTGTTTTGATTGTTCAACATGGTCTAAGATGATTCCTTAGACTTATTTAGAACATAGACGTTAGGTGGCATGATCACTTTAGTTGTTTCTGTATTCTAGATTGCAAGTTGATACCTTTAAGAACCTTTATCTTGTTGCTTTGTATAACGTGCTTCCATATTATTTGAATTGCATAGATGATGTGATTTATGCTAGAAATGATCTAAGATAGCTTAGGATGATCCCTGAGTCTAATATTTGACATAGACGTTAGGTGACATGGTCCCTTTTTGAAATGATTCATGTTGTCTAAAAATCTTAAAGAAATCAAGTCACACATGCTCGTCCCCTACGAATAAACTTGTTAGTCTTGTTTATTCACCCCGAAGTTACTGGTTGTTTTGCAAGTGAAGAATCTTTGTTGTGAGATACACAACACTCTTAGATAGACTAGAAGTCTTGAAGTATTTTTGATGATATTGAATATGCACATGTTAGCATATCATGTTTACTTTTGTTTATTTTGACAAAACTTGTACTTATTGTTTAAGCCATGTAATGTGCACTAAAGTGCACCTTTTGACACTCTTTTGATGTGTATGTAATGAGGCCGGAGACCAATATCATATATTATATATGTTATGCACTTTTACTTACAAACTTCATTATGGAAATATTAAAAATTCATGAGATATTATGTCATTTTCGCACCGGTGCGTGCATTGTGTATGTAATTCATCCTTTAGCATTTGTTTGCCATATGTGAGGTGTGGCTAATGGCCAAACACCATTTAGTTCTCATTTTTGCATTTTAGTTTCATATTTTGCGTTTTGGGCTAAACTAGTGAAATCCGAGCCTTTAAGGGTTCATTTTCAAATCGGGTGGTGCAAAGTATGTTCCGGCACCTCCACTAGGTCTCATTTATCCTGTATGAAGTGTGGCCAAGGGCCAAATAGTCATTTGAAACCATTTCCTAACTTTGGTTTTCATATTTCCCATTTCTAGTTCATTTTTGCCTTTTTGGCCGTTGGGGGGTCAAATTTTGCATCGGTGTTATTTTTAAATCGTGGATCATTTTAGCACATCCAAATAGGTAAGTTACGTTTGCGTGCATGGTTGTTTCCGGGCAAACCCTCATCCTTGGTGATTTGAGCTTCCAATTGACTCACTTCGCATTCTTTTTGCATAATCTGATTTTAGGGCATTCTGGGGTTTTCCTTTAGGAAATAAATTCCGATCTTCACATGGTCGCTTAGAAAACGTGATTTTAGGAGCGGTTTCTTTTTCGTGTTTTTCCAGAAAAGGTCATCTTGGTGCCGGAAATCCATCGTAAAGTTCAGCTTCCAGTTTTCATTTTGGCAGCTTTTGAGCCCTCTTGTTCAGATTTCATGGAGGGGCATTTCGGGCATTCTACATTCCATTTTTATTTAATTCTCTCGCGAATCACGTAGAAAATTCAATTTTGAGGGGGGTATATTCTTTGTGTTTTTCCAGAAAAATTCATCTTCTAGTCCGTTTATGCTCTCAGTTGCAGACAGTCACTGTAGCAACCTTTAACCCTCTTATTCAGTTCTGATCTAGGGGCATTTTGGGGATTTCACAGTAAGTTTTTTTCGATTCCGTTCGTGAGGTCGGGTAGAAAACTCGATTTTAAGGGAGGTTTCTTCTTCGTGTTTTTGCAGAAAAATTCGTTTCAGCCTTCGTTTCAAGCCTCAGTTCTGGAACCTCATTGTTTTTTTTTTTTTGTCAGCTGGTGCATGCCATTGGGCACTGGCATGGGCGCCGGTGGGCTCGTGTATGGGCGCCGTGTGCGCCATGGCCTTCGTCGGGCCGCCGCGACGTCTCAACTTCAAACCCTCGTTTCTCCCTTGTCCGAACTCCAAATCGAGTGAAATTTTTTTTGAACTTGACTACTTTTTCGCTGTCTTTCCAATGGTGTGCTCGGTTGCATCCGGATCTTCCTGAATAATTACCAGTTTACCCTTTTAGCCTTAAGTGCTCGTTTTTCTTCGTCAGGCCATTTCTCCTTCGTCAGGACTCCGAATCATGCGATTCTTGAGTCCATCCTGATTATTTTTTTGTTATCTTTCCAGCGGTGTGCTCGGTGGAACCCGAATTCACATTTTTCATAAATGACTATTTTGCCCCTGGGGGCTTATTTGTCATATTTTTGACCTTTTGCTTCCGCATCAGTTCTCATTGAGTTCCACGACCTCATGGAAGGTCACTTTGACTTCTTAGAGTCCTGTTTTCTGTTTTCGCTTCCGCATATCGGATCCGTTATCGGGTCAAATCTTCGATTCATCACAGAACACACTGGCCTAAAAACCAAGGTCGTCACAATGTACCTCTATAATGCACCTGTAGAAGGACCGAACACCAAAACGACCCTGGGGAGAAGGAACCCACCCCCATGAGTCAAAAAAGTCACCCGTAAGCTACTGTTTGTACACCAACTCCAAAAGACCAAAGACATCCTCGATCTCCCAATCCTGAAAGTGCCTTAAGAAACGTATGTCCCAAACTGTTCTCCTACTATCAAGGCGATAGTAGTCAAACACAAAGGCTTGTCTGTCCATAGCAATCCTGCAAGTATGGGAAAAGTAATGGCAAGAGAGCGATCGCCACACCAAGTATCCTCCCAAAAGTGAATCCTCCTCCCATCCCCCACTCAAAATCTAATGTGTTTTGAGAATTCATCCCAGCCCTTCCAAATGGACTTCCAAACCCGAACACCGTAAGGAATTCTCACTTCCCTGGAGCACCAACCACCTCTCTCATCCCCAAATCTACTCGCAACCACCCTTCTCCAAAGTCTATGCCTCTCCATCCCAAATCTCCACCGCCACTTTCCCAAAAGGGCCTTGTTAAAAGGCACCAGTCCTCTAATAATATAATAATACAAATATTGTATACAATATTATAAAATATCTATGTCATGATGATTTATTAATATTATATAAAATAAATAAAAAAATATATAATACATAAAATATTATTGTCTCGAAAAAATCATTTATACTAATATATAATATATAATATTAATATTTAATATTTATAATAAAAATATAACATGAATTTTATTTGGAATTAACAGTGCCTGTGTGGTAACAGTATCAAAAACATTTTTGCGTTTTAGTGCCGAAAACATAGAAAACATAAAAAATAAAAACAAAAAAAAAATGTTACCTTTTCCTTTCCAAAAATGAAAAATGTTTTTGACTTCAGAAAAACAAAAACATATTACAGAACACAATTCCTCTTTTTATTTTTGCTTTTTAAGTATTGACAACAGAAAACAGAAAATGTTCGCATTACTGAATGCACCCTAAGGTTTTCTGCCTAAATCTTATTACTTATATTAGATACTAGAGTAACCCTTATGCCCTCATGTAATTTCAAGTACAGTAAACAGTACTTGCATTTGACAGTATGTTTAATAGGCATTCATTTGAAATGAACGAAAAAAATAATAATAATAAAAATTTAAAAAAAATAAAAAATAAAAAAAGGAAGAAAGAAGAAGAAGAAGAAGAAGAGAGAGAGAGAGAGATGATGATAAGAAAAGAATATTACAGAATACAAGGAAAGCAAATGTACAAATATGTACCAGCACCCCTCCCTTATTCTTATGATATATGAAGTCGCAATGTTGCCCTCTTGGTTTAGAACAGTTTTAGCATATTAATTGGAAAATTTATGACCTTGATGGCACCGTCAATTACAAAAGATAATTAAGAGTTATGCAAAGTAATAGACACTCGAGTTTAAACATATATCTTTTCAATATTTAGTAATGACTGTAGAAATATGTCCACATACCACTCATATGACAGAGAGATTGAAGGCACACCATTGAAAAATGCCTCTCTTGCACCAGCTACCGTCCCAGAGTAAACACTGCAATTCCAATGACAGAACCAATTAGTAGAGACACAGGCACCCAACCAGCCAGCCACTGCTCTATAGACTCTAACAAAAAAATTACTAAGATATAACTACACAATAGCTGGTATTGGAGCACCTTTTATAGTTGCTATGTCTATAATAGGAATTGAAAAAAATTCATCCTTCCAAAAAGTACGTTTACACTTTCTAGGACAATAAATTCACTTGACTTTGTTTCTCATAGCATTTGAAGACACAGCCATACAGTGCAGTAGAACATCTGAATTGAGATGGAATTTAAGAAATAATATTAAATTAAGTACAATAAACTAGTACTAAAATTTAAATATCCACATGATGTTTCATTTATATGTACAATAAAACTATGAAGTTTAGAATAGGCATTTCATATTTTAACAAAAAAAGAAAAAGAAAAAAAAACCAACAAGATAATTTAACAAAAAGAGAAGCTGGGATGGCACAATGGAGAATAAATGTTACTCACATGTGAAGACCACAGTTGCTTCCCATATTTATGCCACTGACAACCTGTGAGAGGAGACGGGAAAATTTATCAGCCACCAAGAGGTGAAAACAAATATATGGAGCACAATGAGCAGAAATGCCTTAAGTTACATAACAAGGATACAAGTGGAAATTTGTCCAACATAACTATAGTTACTATCATAGGCCGCTGAAAATAATAATGAAACATAAACTAAATTGCAGAGTACATATGGACCTCTCTTCACAACCCCATCATACTGAGAAGGTAAGGACCGGAACTCTAGGCTCCGATAGAGATTTAGTGCAAGGTCCATGATCTAGACCTTGATCACAGATGATTAGGTCTTGCAGGTATTTTTAAAGCAGAATAAAGCACGAACAGCGGGCATTAAGTTTTTTACATGGAAAACCCAAACAAGAAAAACCACAGGACCTAGTCCAGTCGATAGAAAATCTACTATTAGAAAGAAATATTACACTAGGTTAAATATCACATACCGTAGAACCACTAATTACCTCTTGACATAGACTAATCCACCATACTCACACACAAAGTCTCCAGGTTCACAATCCACTCCGTCAACAGATTCGCTCCTCAGAAATCTACTTCTTCAATAACAATTCTGATCTTTAAACTACTAGTCTGCTCTAATCTCGATTGATTGATTGTTTGTTGGTGTTGAACTCTCCAAATCAGCTCCACAACAGTTATGATGTCAACACACTAATATAACACTTAAAATCTAATGCAATTGATGAATGCTTAAAGAAAAATATATGAATGCACTCAAAATATGATATGATCTCTCTAATCTCTGTATCTCTCTGTTTATACTCTGTATTTTAGGACTTGTAATGTGACAGAGTAGCTGTAGACAAAACAAAGTTGTAGAGAGAATAGGGTTTTTGGCGTTTTTATCTGAAAAGGAAACTAGCTTTCCGTTTGGCTCAATCAATAGCATAATAGGTCGTTCGATTAACATAGATCCTGCACCCTTCGATTGATACTTGATCGATCAAAGTGATAGGGAATCCTACTTATCAAAAAAAAAAAAAAAAAAAGGGATAGGGGATCCTACACTTGTAGGAAAATATTAGTAAAGGAGTCTCTAAAAACACTTTTGATGCATATCAATTAGGATTTTCCAAATCAAACCATGAATTCTCAAAACATTAATGCATGAACCCTAAGAATTAGCTTTTAACTATGAGGGTGATACTAGGATTTCTGCTGCAGTCTGCAGATAGGGTTCCATGAGGAAGACAAGCTTTTCTAGCATGAAGGAGGGTCAAACCTCCTCCCACGAACCACTGGGAGAGAACTAATCAGAAAAAATCCACCCCATGAACAAGTTGGAGGTGTTTTTTCCAGAGCCACTAGAATAACTAGACCCTTGTAAACCTATCCTTTGTGACGATTGTAAGAAAGCAAAGTCTGCCTCTACAGAAGATGACAATGTGGCTGGCGAAATTGAGTGTTGGCAGCATTTGGTGATCGGATATGTGATGGGAAAGAAACCCTACTACCCTTTTCTTAAGGCATCAATCCCAGACGGAGAACTGATGTCAAGGTGGTCTCGTTGAAAGAAAGTTTTTTCATGGCAATATTTGAGTCAGTTTCTAAGCTCAAAAGGGTGCTACAAAGGTTCACACCTTTGAAGGAAGACCCATTATCAATAAAAGATGGAACAAGAATGTTAACTTGAAGAGGGATGTCTTGGGGTTACTTCCACGTTGCATCAAACTATACAACCTTCCTTTTCATGTTCGTGGGGTCTATTTATCAAAGGTATGGTTGAGTTTGACGCCAGACTCTATGAATGTTATTGGCAACAGCGGAAGCACAAGAACATGGAGAACCAATGAAGGCTTACAAAGCAATCACACACTAAACACAAGATATAACGTGGTTCAGCCAAAAAGGCCAACGTCCACAGATGAGAATAGATTCACTATGATTATGTAGAGATATTACAACTATAGAGAATATCCAACACCAAACCATGTAGACAAACTCTTGCCCCAGAGTTCTTCTCTGTGTAACTCCATGAGTCTCCCCTCTCACCATCAATGTTCAATCTATCAAACCCATAACTACCCCTACCCATCAACTCCCTCACAGGCCTACCACCCTCCACTATAGAATTAGGGCTATATTTCTCTCTTTCTTATAAGTCTCAATCCATAACCTAGGAATTTATCTATAAATCCAAAACCAAATTCTATGTTAGACAAGGGTTACAATTCCTTGGGGCCTGAGACTTGCCTAACAAGAAATTACCTAATAAAATACAACTCTAAAATAGAAGTCTAATTAGAAGCCAATCATCGCTTCTCACGACATTGATCAGGACAATTCTTTGCAGCTTCAATCTTGACAATCCTCCTGCAAAACTCTGATTGTCCCCACTGTATGCTTCTTGATCAGTCCAATCTCCAAGGCTCCACCTTGACTACTCGAGCTCAATGCCACCATCACGATTTTCTGAATTGTGACCAAATAAGCAGATTGATTGACTCCACCTACAACTGATACCCGTTGTAGCAGCTATTGAGACTCCTTGTGTTTTCTAGATCTCCTTCAAGTAAAGGCCGAACTTCTTAACATGAACCTTTAGCTTTGGTACCAGTTTGTTACAACAAACCATGTAAATCTTTGTGTTCTTTGTGTGTGGAGTTTTTACTTTTCTAACGTGATTCTTGATTTGTTTTTGGTTTGCAGTTTGTTGTAACAAATGTCACTATTCATCAGCAAGAATCTGTTGTCCAAATCGAATACAAAGAAATTGGAAACCATGGGTATCAAGGTATGTACCTTTTGCAAACGGGTGGATCATCTTGCTAATTGTCCTCGAAAGGCTAAGGTTCCTAAGGCAAAGCCTACGTTAACTGAAAAACGGGTAATCAAACAGAAAGGTAAACTAATTGAAATAAATGAGACTCATAAGGCTGAGGATAATGAGCATTTGAATTATGAGAATGTTTCTACACATATATCATTCTATCTGATACGGTTAGGATTGAGAAACCCTTTGTTGTTTCGGGGGATAACTTACTGAATGAAGGACTTATGGAAGATCAACCATCTGCAGTAGTTGCTAGTGCTTCTGATAGTCTAGGAGAGAAGATTGCAGATCCTTTGGATGAGAGGCAAGTTCAACAGGTAGAGATTGATAAACTTATGAGAAAGCTTTTAGTGCAGTATACCACTTCTGTTGGGGATGTAGGACTCCCTCTGCACCTTGCAGTGGCTCTAGCCAAAGAGTGTTGAGTCCTTTGGTGCAGCAAACCAACAACCTTGGGGGTGGAAAGATTCAACATGAGTCTTGCAGTGGCTCTGGCAAAAGGGCGATGGTTGAGTATCAAAAGGAAGATTTTTTTTGGAAGGAAAAGGAATGGGAAGGAGCTCATTGGATTTATCAATTTAATGTTGCTATTGTTCGCTTGGTGGGGACTAGGGTGAAAGTGCCAAAGTTTAACAGAATCTCTTTTAAGATCAATTGCAGATGGCACCAGTATTTTGTTTTTTGATAAGTAATTGCAGATGGCACCAGTATGATAATTATAATTCTAATCCTGGTGGGAAAATTTTGGTAGGATGGAATACCAATCTTGTAATGGTGAAGATGCTCACTGAAGATGTGCAGAGCATGCTTCTGAAAAACAAACTTTAAGTTTCTAAGCAGGAGTGTTTTTTTTATCTTAGGCACAGCGGAAGTGAAAAAACAAACACACAATCACAGAACACAAGATATACGTGGTTTACCCAAAACTAGGGCTACGTCCACGGATGAGAAGAGATTCACGATAATCATGTAGAGATATTACAATAGTAGAGAATTTCCAACACCCAACCATGCACACAAACTCTTGACCGAGTTCTGCGTACTCCGCAAGAACCCTCTCGCCTTCCATGTTCACTGTACCCAACGTGTAACTACACCTCTACCCATCAACTCCAACCCTCATGAGGTTACATCTCTCTCAACTCATAACTCTCAACAGTAATTTAGATATCTATTCATAGAGTTCAAAAACCCAATTCCTTGTCCAACAAGGATTACAATTCCTTAGAGCCCTAGACTTTGACAACCAAGAAACTACCTAATAAAATACAACTCTAAATAGAAACCTAATTACAATAGAATTTTGAGACACAATTCCTAACATTTTCTCTTTTCAGAGCACTCTGCCACTACTGTGATTGAGAGAAGGCTTTTGTGGGATAATTTAGTTCATCGCTTGGTTCAAGCCTCAAGGAGCATGGATTTCCATTGGTGATTGGAATGTTGTAAGATTCAAACGTGAGAATGTTGCAGGTCACAGAGTGCCTCAAAGACTCAATGATGAATTTAACTCAGTTGTTGATAGTCTTGACCTTTCAGGCTGGACTTGGTGCAACAATCAATATACAAAGAGGAGAATTTGTGCCAGACTTGAAGAGGTTTGGTGAATGAAAAGTGGTTGATGCTTCTTTAGCTAGAATGGTGGCGTATCCTGCTAGAAAATTTGTTGAGTGTCCTAAATCTTTTAAAATTTTAAAAATCTGGTGTCATATTGAAGAGCTGGGAGATCTTATAGAAAATAATTGGGAGGTCTAATGCAATCCTATTCCCAGATTAATGAAGAAATTAAAATTGGTCAAGGAAGCTATCAAGGTTAGGAATAAGGGTTATCAGCAGCAGCGAGTGCAGGAAGTCCGAAGTTAGCTTGGGGGCATTCAGTCTGATAGAATGGGGATCCTCTCAATAATATATATATATATATTAGCTGAAAAATAAAAAAAAAATAAAAAAATTAAAAAAAAAAGAACATCTAGAGAGGATATGTAATTGCTCTCAACCAGAAAGAGACTTTATGGGCTCAAAAATCTAGTCCTATTTGGTTGAGTGATAATGACAAGTGCACCAGATTTTATCATCTGAAGTGTTGTCGTGGCTAAAATCCATTAGCTAAAGTGATGTGTGTGAAGGTGAATGATGATGGCAGTAAAATGAACAAGAGAAAAAGTTATGACAGTGCATTAAATTGTGATAATGTCA